AAAAAAAAAAAGAGAGAGAGAGAAAGAAAATCATACTCTATATTTGGCTTTCGAATTTGTTACGTGTGCAGAAGAGGAAGGCTTGGGGGAGCTTATGGATTTGCATGGGAGCTGAAAAGCTTGTGCCTGCTTGGCTGGGCACTCTGCATGGATTTCCCCAACTCTACCCAGTGCCCTTAAAATTTGCCTTTTAATGTCATTTTCCCATCTCAGAATAAAATTCTGGCTCTTCAAGCATTAATTTTTTGGCCAGGGTCTTGCAGACTCTCTGGGGTTGTCCTTTACATCCCTGGAGATTTGTGCCACATGGGCCATTTTTTAGCTATTTGTAGCAAAATAGGAAACTGTATATAAGAAATAAATGAGCCACAGCAGCAAATCCCTGGCCCATGGATAAGACATGATTAGGAGACCCCTCAGTTCAGCGCTGGGCATTTTTCCCATTTATTCCACACTCCCCAAAGTGTCTGGAGGTTGGTCACAAACAGCGAGCAAACCTCCCCATGGGACAGAGCCCAGGAGCACTTGAGGCTGCTGTGAGTGAGGAACCCCCTGTCCTCACATGCCCGGTTTTAGGGTAGCTTTTGCAGGTCGAGAGCAGGTTAATCTGCCTGCAGGGTCAGCTCCGTTTCCCAGCTTTTCTCTGGGAAGGGTCCATGTGCTTTCTGCAGGCTCAAAAACCAAGAAGCCAGAGGAAGCTTCAAATCCATTTGTATTCATTCACCTTTTTTTTCCCTGTCTTAACTGTTACGGCACTCCCCAGTGTGAGCTCCTCGTTTTTCAGCGTTTGGAGCTGGCTGGCAGCTTTTCAGTTCCCATCAGTGGAATAAAGTGGACGAGCACCCCCAGGAGCCCGACAGCACCCAGGGAAAGTCAGGATGGGGCAGGGGGGACGAGGAGGGACGGCCGCACCCGCTGCTTTTCAGTAATGACCCAATTTACTCAAGTTTTTGCCTCTCTCGCTTCTTTCGCTATTAAGATTTATGGGGAGGAAGGTGCCCAGCTGCATCTCAGCGCAATAAACCTCTCGTGGTTGGTAAAAACCGCGCCGCTATTCCTCCAGCTTGTTAGCAGCCAGGAAGATGGAAGGAAGTGGGAGGAATCCAGAGGGTGAGGGTTTCGAGTGCCTCACTCGTCACTGCTGAACCCGGCGCTATTTATGGTGCAATTATCACCGCAGACAGACTCCTTTATCATCCAGCCAATATTCTGGGTAGAAATCCTATTGCAGCTCAGCCACTCCATACATCATCCGGGCGCAGGCAGCAGCCAGGTGACGAGGTTCACGCGCGGCTCTGCCACGAGGCAGGGAGGGGGAACCAAGCACCTTTTGCTCTCTGTATCTGAGAAGCAGGTTCCCCCTCAGCTCTGGTGCTTCCTACGCAGCTCCTGCACAGCCCTGTCCCCTCACTTCTTCCCCAAATTACTTTTTTTTTTTTAGGGAGGAACTTGCACTTTTCTCCTTCTTTTGTGCTGAATCCCCTCTGAAGTTCAGTTGCACTTTAGCAGGGGCATGTTGGGCTTGTAGAAAAACCCCATGTAATCTGTTCCTCTGGCTGGTTGGGGCAAGTACAGAGCAGAATGGTCCATGAGCAGCACCAGGGAAGACAGTTTTCAGGAAAAAGTTTGTACAGTAGATTCTCTGGTGTCTAATAGGGGTTGAGCATCCCCATCCCCTCCCCTTGGCAAATGCATTTCTCTTCTCTATTTCACTGCCTGTTGTCAGAACTCGATATATCTGGAAGCCCCTTCCCCCCTGTCAAATACAGGTGCTATGGGGCAGCTGCCAGTGGGAACCAGCAAGGACAGATGCTGGCAGCTGGGTCACGGAGCCTGAGTTTCCTGCAGAACAGGACCAAGCTCCCACCCATCCCACTGCCCAGGTGTGGGACCCTGCTGCAGTGCAGATCACCTCAATCTGTCATGCTCATCAGCCCCATCACCTCCCCTTTATCTTTGGTTGCACAGAGCCAGGCTGCATTTATCCAGGATAAGCCTCAGTACTTACAAGGGGTGCTATACGGGAGCTACAACAACCATTGCTCACGATGCCTGCTACCTCCTAATTGCCACTGACTCCTGCCTTTTCACATTGCCGGTGCTTGAAAGGGGAAGAATAGATCTAGGAAATGTAATTTAACACCCCAAACATGCTCACGTAATTGCAATCCCCGTAAGCCAGCCACACAAAACTCTAAACAAATTCGATTAATTTATTTCAATTTGCACAAGTCTCCCTCTCAGACTGTAATTAATGGAGGGAAACAATTAAGGTAAACACAGCACAGCTGAGAGAGCTGTCCTTGCTAGAAGTCACATTTTATTTTAATAACGTTGTATTTATATAAGTTCCACACTTTTAACAAATTTCCCATTACCTCGATGTTTAATCAGTGCTGTAAATATTTTGCCTCGGCTGGAGCGGTTTTGTGAAATCAGAAAGCAACAGGGATGGTGTGGGGCAGGGGGGGACCGAGCCACTGATGGTTGCTCGGGGGGACACGGGATGTGGCCAGAGGCTTGGGGAAGGGTCTGGGCACTGTGTATGTGTGTATATAGGGTCCTGCATGGCCCCCTTCTCTCTGCACACACTGAGCACTGGTGGAGGTTGCTTTGCTGTGGTTTGCCAGGCTTTGGTGGCAGTCCCTGGTTGTGTTCCCCAAGGGGACACCGGCTGTATGGGTACCCAGGGGGTGAGGGTGGCACTGGATCGGACAGTTTTGCTAGTGCAACAGGCCCCAGTGGGCTTTTAAAAGCCTTTACGAAGAGCCTGTCCCTGTAAATCAATTTACTGCAGGTATAAATACCTGTGGTCACCCTGACATATCGGGCAGGTCCCTCCAAACTGCTCCAACACTGGCTTTGAATCCCTTTTTTCATCACCTGTCATTTTCTAGCTTTGAAGACATCCCGTGGGTGAGTTTTCTTGAAAGAGAAGGCACATCTATCTTCACTGTTTCCCTTTTTTTTTTTCCTATTTTGAGAAACAGGAACAATGTGATCCATCTTTTATTGCACCAATTGGTCTTTGCTAAAGCACGGAAAAAAATTAGGTGCTGGTTTCCCCCCTTCTTCCCACTGTCATTAACCTTAATGTGTAACATGCTTCTCTTCCAGTGCGAGCGTGGCCTTACTAGAGAAGGAGATCTTAGTTTTAACAATCTCGTGTTGATTTTCTGCTATCTCGGGTACCGGCTGGTCTAATTACTTTGGAAATATGCCATTTGTTAAAGAAAGATGAGGCACAGCCTGACACCTGCTGTACTAATTACTTGCCTCTTTAGCTAATTGCTTGCCCACACTATTAGGTGAGGGAAGTTGTCACTGATAGTTCGAGTCAAAGATGCTGAACGGGAAGGAAATCGAGAGGAGGCTGGGGAGTTGGGATGGAGGAGAGGGGTCAGTGCCGATGCTGCTTTGCAGCTCTCCCAGGATGCAAACCCCCAGTGTAGGATATGCCCAGCAGCCACAAGTGGAGGCTGGGTGGGTGGGAAGAGTTTTTGGAGAGCCTTGTTGGGTGACCTTGGGCACCACGTTGCCTCTCCCCGTCCTCGGTTCTTGTCTGTAAAGCCGGAGAAGGAGACCGACTTCTGTGTGAAAAGCTGTGATGACGAGTGTTACATAAAGGCCAGAAATCATCACCAGTTATTGTTGGGATGAACAGGGGAGGAGATGGAAAAACACAGGGGGAAAGAATTGCGAGCAGCAGCAAGCAGACCAGTGCTGCAGGTGGTGCGGAGCCCTCGTGATATGGGTCCCAGCCCTCATCTCACCTCAGGGCAGGGGGACTGGAGGTGCCCAGAGCTCCAGCCTTGGCCATAGCAGGCAGTACCCAGTCTGGCTCGAGGAGAAGAAGGACTTGAAGCAGGAGCTTTCAGGGCTGGGGAGGGGGCAGTTCCCTGATGTCCTCTGCATCCCCACAGAGTCTCTCCAGAGCAGCCTGGCTCCAAAATCTGCCCCAAATGGCTCTTGAAGGGAAGAGCATCCCAGCAGGGAATCACTGAAAAAAAACAGCGATGAGCCCCAGGGCCAGCTCACAGTCCCACCTGGTGATGGGGACACCGGGGCCGGGCTGGGAGGGTGCCCTGTCCTGGCTGCCACACTGACTGCCCCCATTCCCATCCCCATCCTGCTCACCTCCCACCTATGAGCTGGCCAGAGGGACCCCCAGCACCAACCCCAGTCCTGGGGAACAGGAGGTGGCCTCAAGCCTTGCCCTGCTCCTGTCCCCAGCCCCACTTCCCTGCTGATGGAGATCTGGGGGCAGCCCGGCCCTACTCGCTGTGTGGGGCTGGAGGGGACAAAAGCGTGGCCAAGGATCCGGCTGTGCGCCCCTAAAAGCGCTGTGCCTCCCCTGCTGGATGAGCTCAGCCTGCTCCTGACCCCTAGTGGCACGGCACGGCTCGGCACGGGGACCCTCCGACACGCGTGGGCACCTCCACCCGGCGGATTTTGGAAGCCCTTTTCGGGGGGCAGAGGTCAGCAGGAGCTGTTTCAGCAGGGCATCCCCAAGGGGAGCATCCCCTCGCCACCCAGGGCACCTCTCCCTTTGGGAACTCGTGCACGTCTCCCACACAGGACATGTCCCTGGTGCCAGCTGCCCCGTGCAAACCTGCTCCCAGCTGCAGCCCTCTGCCCAACACCATGAGGAGGGGACAGGGACAGGTGCTCTCCGCAGCACTGGAGGGACAGACACCCACCAGGGTCATCCCACACTGGCCACCATCCCTCCCAGACCTCTGTCCTGGGTTCCCATCCTTCCCCAAAGCTTCCCCAAAGCCCTTAGCTGCAACGATGGGCAGGAACCAGTCCTGGTGTGTTTCCACGTGCTCTTTGTCCTCTCTGAAACAATTTCTCCTTTCCCCTTGCTGTTATCTACCCTGTGAGCACTGTGCCCACCTAACCTGCCACCAGCAGTGCATCGCCTCTTCACATCTCCCCAGGATGCTCCAACTTTCATCAACGAGCGGCTAAAAGGCAAACACCAGCAACAAAACAACAAAACAACAACAAAGTTCTTTATTTCAGTGACCAAGAAGAAAAAAGAATTCAAAGAGAGAAGGTACTAACACAGACCCCAAAGATGCTCCAAACAAACTGGAGCGATTTGCACGAGTCCCTTCCCGCAGCAAGCCAGGTTCCAGCATGAACATGGCCCAGACCCATGGTGAGACCCAGGGAGCTCCCACGCCCGGTAATCAGGCAGCTTGTGGGGCTGGGGGGTCACAGGGGTGCTCACATCCACCCTGCAGAAAAGAAAGGCACTTCCCAAAATCCAGTGGTACCCTGCAGAAGGACACGGAGTGGAACGATGGGCAGGAAGGGGCCCTGTGGCTCCGACCCCACTGCCTCTCCCCCTCCCCAGGTAACAGCCACCAGACAGAGCGAAAGCAGGGACACGATTCTGGAATTAATGTTAATCCAACAACTCACTAAATCAATATTACTCCTAAATTTCAACCCAAAGTCACTGAAATTATGGATGGGAGGCAAAAATCCCAAAGTTTTAGGATCTCCATGGAGTAAAGCCTTGCCTGTGCAGGCAGAGGGGGGGCAGTAACTTTTTCCCTCTCTCTGGAGAGGAGCAGCAGCCAGGCACTTGCAGACAGGCACTTGCTCCCCTGCATGGGGTTCACAGCATTGGCCACCGGGTATTGTGCCCTCCCAAGCCCCTCCGGAGATTCCCTTTGACTTCAATCCATGCTGGTTTGGGGGCCCTGAACTGTCCTGGGTCCCAAATTCAAGGGTCACAAGAAACACTGATCATAGGGAAATTGCACTGCTCAAGGGGCAGAAAGTCTCAACAAGCACTGCCAGCCTTAATTCCCCTATCAGCCCCTTCAAGCCCACCGGTGGGTCAGGTCTGACCCCAAAGCCCAACCTGACCCAGGTCATGAGCAGCCTTGGGCAGCTGGGGACTCGTCCCCACAGCCACACGGAGGCAGTGGCCCCGCTCTGACCGGTGCCTCCTTCTCTGCCTGGCCAAGGAGGTGGCTAGAAGCAGGGCCGTGGATATCAGATCATTTAATTGAACCTTCCTTCTAGCTCAAATGGAAATTAAGGCAAACTCACAACTAGAGCCTGAGCCTTCAGCTCCTGCAGGTGGAGGAAGCCACCTGGGACCTCTCTGCCTCCTGGTGCCACATCTCCCAAACCTTTAAATCCCCCCCTGCTGCATGGAGCGGGGCCATCTACCAAAACCCCAACGTTGTCCTTCGGAGAGGAAGAGCCAAAACCCAAGCAGCCCTGGCACTCGGTCCTCTGCCCTGAGGAGAGTCCTCCTTAGCACTGAAGCACCTCAAAACCGGGGGATTTTGGCTCCCAAGACACCACCCAGCTTTCTGGCTTGGTCCCTCCTGGTGCAGCTCATGGGGACAGCACGAACAGCGTCAAGTCACCGCCGGGCCCCGCCGAGCTGAGCAGAGAGAGCCCAGCTCCTCGCTGAGGTCCCTTCCTTGGGGTTCAAACCATGAAGAAATGCACGAAGAAACCCAAGGAAGGAGGAGGGGGGGGTCTCCCGTGTGAACAGAGAGGGGGCTGCCGGGGCGGGGGGCTCAGATGTGTCCCCGGGGGCTGTGCTCGGGCAGGGGGTGCACGGCCGGGGGCTGCTGCAGCAGAGCCAGGAGGATGCGCTGCAGCTGGGTGAGGCGGGCACGCAGCGAGGTGCTGGAGAAGAGCCTGAGCTGGAAGGACGGGTCGAGGGGCAGGATGGAGATGAGCCACCAGCACCACATCGGGCCGTCAGCAGAAGCCTGCAGGGGAGAGAGGGGGAGAGCCCCGCGTCAGGAGCCGCCAGGCGGGGAGGTGCACGGCCTTCGGGCGGCACTGCTGATGGGGAATATTTGCTCAGAGCAGTAAGAGGGATCCTGCAGCAACGCCTGCCGTGGCTACGGCACTCATCCGAGCAGCCCTTTCGTCTGTTCAGGCACGAGATGGCTGGATGAACTAATTCAATTTCCAGGCAAACATTCCCTTGGGACTCTCCCCCCAACAGAGGCAACCTGGAAAGCCTTTACGAAACAAGTAGAGAAATGCCTTGCACATTGGCTTGCTTAAGACCACACTTTTCAACAACACAGAACAAATCCTGCATGCTCCTAGAGGCACCCCAGCACAGCAGCACTCAGCCACCACCACCAGAGCAGAGTCAGTCACCACAGCAGCTCTTTGTAATGATCCAGGCAGGTAGCACCCTCTTGAAAGAATGAAAATTAAATTTTGGTGTTGTTTTTTTTTTTTTTTCCCATATTCTGAATTTGTCAGAGCAACTTAATAAGTAAATTGGATCCTGCTGGCTTAGCACCTCTTCCCTGGCTAGTCAGGGCTTTCTCAAAGGAACAGATGATGGGAAAGGAGAGCACAGATGTGAGGTTTGTGTGTTTGTCCATTTGTTTGTTTTTCTGTATTTTGTTTGTTTGTGGGTTTTTTGTTTTTTTGTTTGTTTGTTTGTTTGTTTTGTGCAGGGAAGCTGGTGGCCAGGCAGGAATGGCCCTGATTCAAAGGCTCTCTTGGTACCCTGTGGAGCATCCCTTCCCTCGGGCATTACCTGGATGTCCTCCTCCTTCTCCGGCAGTGGCCCATGCTGCATCAAGAGGCGCCTGGAGGCAACGTCTCCGTGCTCACAAAATCTCTGGGCCAACTCGTAGGTGCTTTCGTGGAGGCTCTGCAGCTCCTGCAGCTCCTCCCCGGCCACCTGTGGGGGGAAAAGGAGAGCGGAGAGGGGCGCACATGGGGACAACGGTGCCCACCTCAGGTGTTTTGGCTTTGTCTGTCTTTTCTCCACCTCCTCTGGCTTTGTCCCACCAATCTGGGGGCTTCTGCCCTGGCCCTGCCCTCACCTTCTTGTCCTCCAGGTACTCGATGTCAGCGGTGTTGTAGCCGTCCCTGTGCCCGCGTCTCAGCACGCGGAACCGCCGCCCACCCACGGTGTCCACCAGCGACCGGCCGTCCGCCAGCAGCTCCAGCTGCCGGATCTCCAGCATGCAGCCGTAGTCTGCGAAGCTGGAGGGAGCAAGGGGGAGAAAAGAGGGCCTGAGCAGGGTGCTTATGGTGGGAGAGATGCTCGTCCTGCATGCACCATCTCCAAGCAGGGAAAAGGTGCGAAATCGGAAATTAATTCTGTTGTCACTTGCTGCAAGAGGGCAGGGAATAGCGAGCACTCCCTTGGATTTGTCTTGTATGAAAATGACTTGGGTCCTCATGCTGCCCTGATGAACACACCATCCCCTGCAGAGGCATCCCAAAACCCATCTGAGGCCAGAAAATGTTATCTCATTTCACTTGAGCAGGGCTGAAGCTCTGGGAAGATTTGCCATGTAAGTACAGGTGCTTAATGGAGTACTTTAGTACAGGCTGAGCACACCCAAGACCTGGAGGTGCCACCAGGAACACAAGGTGACCACGTTGCATCAAACAAAAGCCTGTTTGGCCCAGCGTGCTGCCACAGCTTGCTATGGACAGAGTACGAGAAGTAAGGCAACCATAAAAAGTGGCCATGGGCAGGCAGCTCGGAGATGTCCCCCTGGGGATTCTGCCAGCAGGATGCAGTGGGAGATGAAATCACACCCTGTGCTTTCATGCCCTCTCTGAACTACTTGGGATTTTAGAAATGTGGAGCTGGTGCAGACAGGGGTAAACGAGCTGGGGCAGAAGGAAGCAGCCTTGTCCTGGTGCTCACCTTTTCCCGGTCTCATACACGCACATGCCGAACCTCCTCGTGCCGGCCTCCTGGCACTGCCGGATCATCAGGCGGTAGCGGGGCTCGAAGACGTGCAGAGGGCAGGCAACACCCGGGAAGGACATGGTGCATACAAAGATGGGGATGTTCTTGGTCAGACTAAAGGAGAAGAAGGGAGACTGCTGTGATACCCCCAGGAACAAATCCCACCAAAGGCTCTGCATCGACTCATACCCTGCCTGCTCCCCCAAACCACATCTGTCCTTTACCCCATGAAGTGATGCTGTGGTGCAGACCACCACGATGCAGTCCTACAGGTGAGAAGCTTGGGAAGCCCCCCCTGCGTACGCACAACCCCACACACCAGAGCAGGTCCCTCTTACTTGGAGAGCTCGGCCATCTCGGCCTGGTGCAGCTCCCGGCGCTCGGCCAGCTGTGCGGGGAAGGTGGCCAGCATGATGTCCTGCAGCAGCACCGTGCAGCTGTAGCTTCCAGCCTTCAGGTACTGAGAGAAAAAGACCCAGAAAAAGGTTGGACAAGAGCAGGACGGGAGCCCCGAGGCTGTCCTGAGCTCTGAATCAAGCCCACGTGTGTTGGAGCCGAGGGTACATTCAGATTTGAGAGCAGGGGCTGAAGCCCACCAGGGAGGACTGCAGGACTGAGAAGCACTGGCACAGACCTGGGGCCCATCTATCGCAGCCTCCTGTCACTGACACTGATGTGGTCTGTGTATGACAACCTAATTTCCCCAATGGTCTCCTCTGAATCCTTTTTCATTAAAGAGAAAATCAAATCCCCAGGCTAGCAGGTTTTCCATCCATTTCCATTTTTAAAAGTAATTAGCATTAACTTCCTCCTCTCTCTCTCCCCTCTAACTCTCAGCCCTGTTTACGATCTCACTAAATCACTGTGGCATCTCGTGGAAATGAATCTCCTGGTCTTAATTATCAGCTGTCTGGTCATTCATGCACAAGTGGAGCTGACACCGCTGGGCCAGGCGGCCGCCAGCATGTGAGCATCCTGCCTGTCCCCTGCCTCCTGTGTGTCCCCCGTGTCCCACCTGCCCCCAGCCCCAGGCACGCTGCTGGCGTGGAGACCCGTGCCCTCACCTCTCTCAGGCTCTGCTTGCAGAGGGGGCAGTTGGGCCGGTGGTCCAGGCAGCGCTCGAGGCACTCCTTGCAGAAGGTGTGCCCGCACGGCGTCGTCACCGGCTCCAGGAACATCCTGCAAAAGAGCCACCATCCATGGACAAAGGGGACCGATGTGGGGAAGGAGCACGTGTGCTATAGGCACAGCTCCCGGCCGTCCCCAGCCCTGTGCTGTGGGTACTGCGTCTTTGAATCCCCTTATTGCGACTCGAACAGGACTCCAGCTTAAGATCTTATGGGATTTTGCTTCCAGCAGGATCGAGGCATTTCCCCTACTCCCTCCTGCCACTTCAAGGGAAATTCACAGCGATGCTGCAGGATGAGACACTGCTGGAAGCTGTTTCATGCCGTGCTTCCCAAGCCTGGGCAGTACGTGGCTAGGCAACTTGCTTTCACTTAAGCTGTGTTGGCTAATCTTTGCTTGTAACTCCTGTTAATTAAATGCAAAGGTTCCTAGCTGGCTTATTCCTGTAATTACAAGCCTGGGTTCAGGCTGCTGGATGTGCACACTGATGGGAGATGACAACTGTCCCCAGCCTGAGCTCCCTGGCCCTGTGGGGTGCCCATGGGCCTTCTGGGGTGAGCATTTCCCCATCTTCCCGCAGTGGGAAGGTGCCTCCTCCTCCGGCTGCAAGAGCTCAGGTCACTCCCGGGTGGCTCCAGGATCAGAAATGAAATGACCGACTTGATCCCAGCTCAGCGGGGACACTGATACCAGTGGAAATCCCCCACTGCAGGTACAGCTTGGGTCTCCTTCATTCGCACTGAGCCCTGATTCTTCCCGAACACTACATTTCCTTGCTCTCAGAGAAGATTAAATTCACCTAATTCGGACCAGATGCAGCCTTGAGCTCCCTCCCCGTGGCAGTTCACTCACAGTTCATCCTCCCATGCCATGCCCAGACCTGGAGCAAGCCACTGGGCAGGAGACCCTGACCATCCTGCACATACAGCAGCACAGCGCCCAGTCCTCTGGCAGCAGCACTTGCACAACTGGGACTGAGTTTGCTATTAAGAGGTGAAGAAAGATTCAAACCAGGGAACAGAAGCGGGCAGGTGCCAATTCCTCATCCCCAAAGCTCCCCAGCCGAAGGACTCACCGTATGCAGAGGGAGCACTCCAAGTCAGAAATGCTCAGCAGCTCCCCGAGGTACGGCTGGTTACACTTCGCTGCCTCTGTCCCCTCTTCATTAGCTGGTGGCAAAAGAATAGAAGGAAAGAAAAGACCCCCCCCCATTTTCATACTGAGAATTAATCTTTGCTTTCTGAGGTGTACGGAATCAGTGCAAGCATGGTGCAAACACTGAAACTTCAGTGCCAGAATATCTTTTAAAGGGTTATTCTGCAGGAGAAGAGGTTCTGGTGCCTCTGCAGGCACTCACCTGCCAACAGCCCGTGCTGCCTCTCCTCTGCAGCCCCCAACTCCTGCTGTTGCCCTGGGGTGAGGATCCCCTGGCCGTGCTCAGACACCAAGGACCCTCTGCCAGCCTCTGGCTCCTCCTCCTGGTCCTGGACACAGCAAAGAGAAAATTGAGCCCAACACCACTTCCCCCTTTGAATACAAACCCATTCACCCCACCGAGCACTGGGACATTTTCTTGCGTGTTGCTGTCTGTTAACATCTTGCATCTGCAGGACACCAGGAGAGCGTGCCCCTGACAGATATCCCCATTCAACCCCAAATCTGGGAGCCAAATTTTACCTTTTTTGGGGAGGAAACACAAACAGCCCAAGAACCGGGGCACAGAGCATGCATTCAGGGCATGGTTCATCTCGTGGTTAAAGCATGGGCTTTCCCTGCCCAGATGTACCACCGGGCACTGGGGTGTGTTTGAACCCATTTCTCCCATTTACCCTCTCTCCAAACCTGCCAAATTCCTCCTTAGGAGACAAAGAGCAGAAAATGAGTTTTCCTTAATAGCTCCTAGTGGTCTGAGCTGTTCTCAGATGTATTTTTTGGATGAAAATCCACCGTTAAAACTGAAATTTTCTCTTTTATTTTTCTGAACATAATGTGGCTTTTGTGTTTTGAACACAAAGGTCTAAAATCTTGTGTAAAACAGTGCAGAACAAAACTGGGAGAGGACTGGACACCAGTAGGAGCCTCCTCTGCTCCCCCAGCCCCTTGTTTTTGCTCTCCCACCCCCTGCTACCTGCAGCTGCCCACCCCTGGTATGGTCCTGCCTGGCCTCCCTTCCCCACATCCATGTTCCCATCACTGCAAAATCCCAGTGTGGGACATCCCAAAGGGACCCCAAGTCCCAACACAGTCTCTTACCTGAGCTCGTGCAGAGGGGGATGCAGGGTCCCCACTGTCCCCCCCTGCCTGGGGACCGCTCGAGCCCCGGTGGGCAGCGCGTGGCCGAGCAGCATCCTCCTGGGCGAGGATCTACAAGGAGAAATGGGGGCTCAGCACGGCACTGGGAGAAGGATCTGCTAGCTGAGCTCTGCCAAACTAACGCCTTAGGGCATAAGGAAGGTGGCAGCAGGAGGCACTGCATACACGAGTTTATTTTAAGGTCTGGGACCTGTTTTCCATTACTCAAAAAAAGCAGAAAGGGAGTGCACTGTGGAGAGAACAGGGTCTGTCCCCATTCCCCTGCCCTTTGCCTCCTGGAGGGCAAAGGTCCACTCATGGCATGAAGTCCTTGTGCTGGGGACACTGCCAGCAGCCCCAGTGGTGACAATATTTTGGCACACAGGTGGGTGCTGGCCTGAGTGACACCAAAATGAAATGGCACCAGATCTCCAGTGACAGCTTTCAGCAAACTCGTATCGAGGCAATGGAAAACTCATGGCCCAGGACCCAACTTCACTTGCTCCCAAAACCAGCCCAGAGCAGCAGGACCGTGAGGGACACGAGTCCTTCAGAGGAACAGGGCACCTCCCTGAGTGACAGGAGGGCACAGGACCACGCCACACCACAGGCCCACACACCTTCTCCATCTCGCTCTGCGCGGGCTGGAAATGGGGACACAGCGTCAGGCAGTGCTCCCAGGCCAGCAGGGCTTCAGCTCCACGTCCCATCTCCAGAAGCACCTTCCCTTTCCTGAAGAAGCCCTGCAAAGCAGAAAAACCTGTGCTGACTATGAGAAAGTGGCCAGCTGAGAGCAGGTCCCTTCAGCTCCTGTGTCTACCCCGAGCTCTCAGTGCCAAGGGATTCTCCCTCCAACATCCTGCCTGTTCCCATCCTAGGCTGAAGTACCCATCACATCGCTGCCCCATGCTCAGACCTGTCATTTTACCCACCGAACCCACACACCACATCCAACAGAGCTCCAAAATGCAACAATTGCAACAGCCAAGCAAATAAACCCTGCAGAGACTCAGAGATGGGGTCAAAGGGCTTCTGCCTTTGACGCTGCAAAGCTATTGCCAACAAGTGCAAATCAGCAAGCGAGCGCCCAGGTCTGGGGTCTTCAGCCAGGATTTCTCCCAGCCTAAAGCTATCCAAGTGACATTGGGACAGCAAGGGGAAATCCTCTGGGTCTTCCAGAGGATGGATTAGCTCCCATATGCACTGAGATGTGCCTCCAAGGCTTCTCCAGCCTCCCCTCCGCTCACCTCATGCTCCGTGGGCTCAGCCTTGCACACAGCCTCCAGGTCCTCCAGTGCCTCCGGGTACTGCCCCAGTGCCACGAACGCCTCTGCCCGGCACCGCCGCAGGGAGATGTCATCTGGAGCTGGGAAGAGAAAGGTGGGGGCTTGTGTCATGAGCTCGTGCAGGACCACATGCCCAGAGGGGGGCATATGCTGTGCAGGCAGCTCAAGCTGAACTCAGCCAGCTCCTCTTCAGCACGAGCCACCGGCCCCATAACTCTCTGCAAGAAAGTCCTTTCCCCTAAATATCTACTTCAAACTCTGAGCCTCTTCCCTGTGTTTTTCCCCATCTTTCCTCAGCCAGGGGGCCCCACTGCTGCCTCGGGGCTCAGCTTCAGCTGCAGTGGGATCTGGGCTCTCATCCATCCTTTTGGGGTGCAGCAAAAAGACTGCACCATGCAAGGCGAGGAGAGACCCTGGGGGAGCAAGGAAGGCTCCAGATCCACCCCACCACATGGCTCTGGGCCCCGCAGCACAAGAAGAGGCTGAGGTTTCCCAAAACAGAGGAAGGGAATTGGGCACCCAGGCCTGCATTATCACGATGTCACTGGTGGGACCTCAGCGTGCAGGCACTGCTGGCCAGGACACCCCAGTGGCATGGTGCAGAGCAGTCCCTCAGAAACCAGCACCCCGAAATCCCACGCGGCACGACTCAGCCAGGTGTGGCGATGCTTTGTGGGTTTGAACCGTGCAGGATTCGCAGACCCACCCCATTATATCACAGCCACGGAGGTGACCTACATCTGCTGCTGACTGCCAGCCAAGGCAGTGGCCCCGCGCCTCCCCCAGCGGCGAGCATCGCCCGACGGCTGCCAAGGGCTGGGGCCGGGGCCACGCTGCGGTGGGGAAAGCACAGCTGCAACCTCGGTCCCTCTGGGCAGGACACCAGTGTCATCACATCTGTCCCTGCTGGCTCCCTGTGGGATGACGGTACAGCCAGCATCCGGGGTCACTTTGGAGACAAACATCATTGCTGGCGATGTCTCCCGCACTCCCAGCCCCGGCAGCTTTTTCTCCCAGCCCCGGTTCACACCAGGCGCCGATACAGCCATGCCAGCTCCCAGCAGGTCCCGACTCGCAGCCCCGTGGCAGCAGGGTGCAGGAAGCCGGCGTCTGCCCTCCCCTGCTGCCACCGTGCCCAGACACCCACAACATCCAACCACGAGGAGGAAGCTCCAGGGCAGCTCCTGCCTCCTTCCAGCACAGTGCACAGCAGGACCCCACTCTCTGCCCTGCTCCAAGTGCAAGCCAAGTGCAATCTCCCATCCCGAGCTGCCCTGCACGAATCAGGCTGAGCGGGCACCGCGTGCTCCCTCCAAGCCCACGTGCGTGTGTGATGACAGCCACGACCTTGGCACCCGGAGCAGGAAGCAGGGGAACTTGCTGTGCCGTGGCCCGTCCCTCAGGCACACGTCTAGAGATGAAATGCTCCAGCTCGCGGTGACACGTGGAGATGAAAACACAGGTACAAAGTCCAGGGGCTTATTTTCCACATGGGCAAGCGCATTTGAACATTTGAACTGCCTGGTAATAAAGTGTCTGCTTTGGCAGAAACGAGATGTGTAAAAGCAGGCTACAAATTCTGCATTTCTCTCCTGCTGCAGCTATTTTTGATCTATGATATCATTAGACATCGGGGACGTGAGCCAGCTGGCAGACCGGCGGCTGCAGAGTGACTGACAGCACTCCTGGCACGTCAGGAGCCCTCCTGTGTTACGCTGCACCTTTTTGTTCACTTTGTCAACTTGTTATCTTCTGGTTTTCTATTCGCTTTAGCCACGCAGTCTCCCAAGCAGAGAGCTGCTCTGGCTGGCAGCAAGTTTTGTGCAAAGCCGAGGGTCCCTGCCCTGGCAGCATGGAGTGGGACTGTGCAAACCAGCACACGCACTCCCACCGGTCAAGCTTTTATTAACCTTAGGGGTTTAAAGAGGAGCCCAGGAGAAGCTGTGCAGCCTAAAAGTGGTCAGCAGGCTGCAGGGGGTGGGAATCCTGCCCCGAAAGCACCACCCACATGGCAGAGCCCGAGCAGCACCGGCACACACAGGTTTATGGGAGCTGCAGCCGATTCCTGTTTCCTCACTGCCCCAACCCAGCTTCCCCTGCCCGCCAGGGAGCCGAGCAGTGAAGAAAGGCCAAGGGCAGAGCTTGCAACAGTTTGCTCTTTCTCCTCACAGAGGCTTTTTAAAAAGAAATACCTAAGTGTACCGCCCAACAAGACAAAAGCCTGGCTCTCATGAAAAGAGAAGCCGAGGACGGCGCATGTGCGTTTGCTTTGCACAAAGGGCGCAGGGGATGTGAAGGGGGTGCCTGGGGAGGCTGCACAAAGGGACCCACGCTCTGCTGCCAGCACCAGGACCGCTGGCACCTCAGCCACACCGTGCACCCCTGGCACTTGTCTGGCAGTGGCAATGAGCGAGGAGCGAGTGCCTGCAGCGGGAGGGGAGCTCGGTGCTGCCCGCACAGCGCTGTCATAGAAACGCCAGAGGACCTCCTGCCTTCACCGCCCCAGCCCCCTGCTCTCCAGACGCGTTGTGTAACCCCTTTTAGTTCAGCGGTACTCTCCAAGAAATCCACTTAGGGCTGTGTGTTAAAGCAGACCGACCCCCCCGGCCTGATCCTGATCCTGCAGGTGAATGTCACGGTGGGGCTGGGTGCAGAAGGGGGCTGGGGGACCCCTCTGCGTGCCGTGGGGGGCTCAGACGTGTCTGTCCTAGACTAGAGAAGTCCCAGGCACTTTACATAATGATTGCAAACCCCCCAAACTCTTCCCCTGATGCTGAAACATTGCCGGACACCGCTGGGAAGCTGCTGACGTCTCGTCTATCACTACACACCTCCTTCCTCTCCAGCTGCCCGCTAAAGCCAAGAGCCCGGGGCCAGTGGGACCTGGCTGTGCGCCCCATCCTGCCCACAGCCCTGGCACTGGGGACAAACATCAGGGCTCAACCCGGCCACCACAGCCCCAGAAGGCCAAGACCCCCTGCTGATGCTCTGGCAGGGGTGGGGATGAGTCCCTTACACCTGCAGACACTGGAGAAAAACCCAACTTCTTTACCCCTCCTCCCCATCCCATCTCAGCACTTCCAGCACTCCAAATGAGCTCCCCAGGTCTCCCAGCTCATGCTGGCACGGGTGGCACCGTGACATGGGGACAAAGTGACCCACACCAGTACCCACCTACCCCACCAGCACCATCCGCACATCCTCACCCCAGCTGGACAACAGACCCGGACCCTCCTCGGACCACCAGCCCCAATTCACCCCCCAAGCCCCTCTGGACCCAGGGGATGCTTACCCAGCTCGACGCCCTTCTGAGCCATCCCCAGCGCCTCCTTCGCCTCCCCACGGGTCAGATGGTGCCGGACACGGGCCACCAGCCCCGCCAGCCGCCTGCCCCGGTCCTCGCACTTCTCCAGCAGGTTGCAGAGCACCACGTTGCGCCTCGGCCCGCCGACTCCCAGCAGCTTGAGCTTCTCCTGGCAGAGGGGGCAGCGGGCGGGCACGGCCCCCCCGAGGCACGGCGTGCACAGCGAGTGGCCGCACGACACCGTCACCGGCTCCCAGAGCTGCAGGCGGCAGGATGGGCAGCGCAGCAGCTCCCCGCTCCCAGGGGGGCACCAAACGGGGCTATCCCCCCTGGGAGGGCTGGGAGGGTCGCGGTTCATCGCTGCTGCCCTTCAAAAGGAGCCGGGGAGCTGCTCCCAGGGCCGGCGGTGCGCGCACATCCCGGGAGCCGCCGCCGCCGGCCCCCCCCAGTGCCACCGGGCTCAGCCCATCCTCCCCACCGGGGGGGCTGCAAAGGGCTGCGGAGCCCGGGCACGGCACGGTAGGGCACGGTAGGGCACGGCACGGCCGGGACACGGCTCCTACCGTGTGTCCCCCCCCCCGTAACCGGCGGGGGCACCATTGGCTGCAGCCGCCGCTGCGCTGCGCCCGCCCCGCCCCGCCCCGGGCGCGTTTCGTAACGGGGAACGGGGCGGGGGACGGGGGGGAAAACGGGGTGCTAGGGGGCACCGGGCACCGAGGTGAGACCCGGGAGGGATGGGGGGATGAGGGGAGGATGGGGGATGCGGGGCCGGTTCCCGGTGTGGGGTGCTGGGGGGCTCTGGAGCAAGAGGGGTGAGGGGTTTGTTGGGGTGCTGGAGAGCCCCGTGGGTCGGATGGGGTGCAAGGTGCCCGGGAGGTTGGTGAGGCTGGGGGACCCCAAGTGTGCCCCTGCAGCCCCCACCATGCAGCCACCTCGCTGCAGGGTGCATGGGACAATGTAGGGTCCCTCCAGGGCAGGTGGGACACTGCGTCTTCCCCAGGTGAACCAGCAGGGACCTGGGTGGGGAGGTCCCCTTCCTGCTCACAGCCCCCCGGGACAGGGGGGAAGCATCCCCCTGCCACACATCCCAGCAGCAAGGCGATGGCTGCTGTCTGAGAGCTGGTGCTGGGAAAAACAGCTTAGTAGTTCAGACTTTATGTAAGGATGATGCACAGCAATCCACAGGCTCTTTTGCATGTCCCTAAAAGCCAAACAAAGACGGGAGCACGCTGGCAGGGATGCTCAGGGAGGGAGATCACCGGTGAGCCAGCAGTGCTGGTGCAACTCCTGTCCCACTGAGGGAGTGGCTGGCAGAGGCTGGGGCTGTGGAGCAGGTTTTGTTTCAAAACCTACTGTGATTTCATTAAACATCTCATGAGTGGTTTTAAAAGTTCAAAACCTAATTATTTTCTGCAGGCTCTGCAGACGGGTGGAACTCCTGGCCCTGCTCAGCAGCACAGCCCCGAGCACCTCCTTCCCCAGCCCTCCATCCCGCAGACACCCTTGGAGTACCATGGGGCTGCCTAGAACCCCATTGGGGACAGCCTCTGTGTTCCCATCTACTTTGGGTAGGGTCGAAGCCACCTCCACCAGTCACCCCTGAGGGGTCCCACCAGGCCTCCTGCCAGCAGCACTCCCGGACCTTTCTCAGATGCACGAGGCTCACTTACAACCAACGCTGTCGCCTCATGTTTTAGTTCCCCAGTGGCTAGTTTTTCCACCAAAACCTGAATAATGACTAAAACACAACATTGTCACCAAGAAGCCCTGACCACCCAGCTTACCCTCCAGCAGGACGTATTGCTGAGCCATGACCCGAGGGCAATTTCAGCCACCACATCCAAGTGGCAGAGCACTCCCAAAATCTGCTGCTGTGGCTCAGCCGGGAGCAGCAACCCACTGGGAGCCAGCAGCAGGTGGGGGGCAGCTTTCACCACCCCAATGTGCCCCTCCAGGCGATGCTGGGCTGCTCCTGTGCCCTGCCTGCTCTGCTGCTCACCTCCTGATTCACTCCGCAGGCATCCTCGCGCGTGCGGGCCCAGCGCCTCGCCAGCAGCGAGGCCGTGCTGCTGCCTTTGCGTAATGCATTCAGAAATCAATCAGCCACAACATGTACATGTGCTGGAAACGGGGCTTTGCTGGCACCAGCGTGAGAGCAGTGTGTTTTCTTCTGTCTACAGAGAGCTGAGCTGGTGGTGAAGTCCAAATGCTTTTGCTTGTCACTGGTGTGCTTGTGCCGAATCAGTATGTGCTGAAATAAAATTAAAATAAAATAAAATAAAATAATTAAAAATTAAATTAAATTAAATTAAATTTAAAATAAATACCTAATGTTAACTATTCCGCTGACCAGATGAGGACTCAGTGTTTTGCAGAACAACTCACGCTGTGCTCAGGTGCAATTTGCAGAGCACTATTGGATTTTTCTCTTTCCACTTTAAAGGTGAGGCCCAGCCAGGCTGGGGAGCTGCAGGGGGTGTCCCAGGGACAAGCAGCCCCTGGTTCCCCCCTCTCCTTGCCATCATGCCGCCAGTGCCCTGGCTTTGGCACAGGCTCGTGGATGTGGTGCAGACAACTGAGCTGCAACGTGGGACTTGGTGCCTTCACGCCGGGCGGTTGTGTGTGTGGTTCCAGCACTTAAATATTTGCTGCCAGTGTTGACATTGGGTTTTGACATGTTTGACAGGAAGGAGTGGCACAGAGGTGACAGCACCTACCTGTGGTGCCTTCACAGTGCTGGCAGGGGAGACCGGGGTGCCCCTCGGGGTGTCTGCAGAGGCACCACCAGCAGCTGCTGGGCAGGGATGTGCCCCATATGTGCCATGGCCCCGTCACACACCTACCCTGCTCTTCCCTCTTGTGTGGATGGGGTTGTCACCATCAGACCTGCAAGTCCTGTTGTGCAGAGGTAAAACAAGTTTTTCTCTTTCAAAAACACCCAAAAGAGGAAAGACTTGGCACCCAGCTGAGGAGAAGCAGCACAGGGGCTGCGGTGCTGCCACAGCAGGAGACGGGCTGGGCTGGAGGCAGCGGGGATGTGCAGGAGTCAGCAGGCACAGGATAAGGCTCCGAGCTTTATTCCTGCTTGGGCAAAGGGCCAGGACCAGGCTGAGCACCTGTGCAGCCCCGCTCCTGCCCCTCTGGTTCCCAGCTGGGGCTGGGGCCCAGCCCCATGTCCTTGGGGTTGGCGCAAGGAGTTGTTTTTACACCTCAGTACGTGCAAATAGCACGCGGGGAGTCGCTTGCATCATACGCCTCCCAGCGTGTCTACAAGCACATCAGCTTCCTGGCATTTTTGCTTTCTTTGCCTCACAGTATTTCTGTATCCAGGATATCGTTCAGCTGCCGGGTTTCTCCGCTTGCCACACGCAGTTCAAAGCCGGTCCTGGGAAATGGAGCAAGAGGAAGTGGAAGCAGGTGGTGCGGGAGGCTCCTGCCTGCAGTCCCCGCCTGCCTTTTGTAACAAGCACCTTTTTTAACAAGCACCTTTTCCTCCAGGTCCCTGCGTCCAACCAGGGCAGCTGCTCCGTGCCTGGTTTTCTCTCTGGCAGACGCAGCCGATTGCCACACTGCTGCTCCTTGATGTCTGGTATTCGAGGTCTGAGCTGTGCTGACTGGGCACTGGGCAGGGAGCAACCACACAAATTACATGGTGCTGTTCCCTCAATCCTGAAACTCAGCTGGCTGAGAGCTCCGAGAGGCCCCGACTCTCAGTGAGGAGGATCGGAGGTAAACAGGGCAGGCGATTTCAGAAAACTTCAATATTTTCCTTTCAAGAAAACATCAGTATTTTCCCTTCTGAGTCACGCAGGCTTTGCCCAAGGCATCCTCATTCCTAGAGAAAGGCGCTGAGTGTCACATGGACCGGCCAGACACACTGCAGCGATGTGAGGCTATCGCAGTGCTCACGTAACCCTGCTTCTGCCTCCAGTCCTGGAAACCCGAGAGGCGAGTGGGGAGGGCCCCAGTCCCCGTCTGGCTCATTTTACTCTCTTGGGCCAAACGTCTTGGCAAAGAGGTTGATGGAATATTCTCACTCGGCCTTGGAGCACGTCCCACATTAAAAACGTGGAGAAAACCATGGGCATGTATGAGCCATGCTGGGTAAAAGCAAGGTCAGAATTGTCCCCGTTACCCTAGGACGGTCTGCAGGGCAGGATGCTGGGAGCTCGCAGTGATTCTCTGCAATCTCCACCCCCCCCCCACCAGCCTGATACCTCGGTGTCCTTCTCTAGCAAGGACAAAGAGCTCTTGTGAAGCCAGTGGGCCAAATTCCAGCTAAGCCCTGTATGTGAACACGACGGAGAAAGAAGCACCTCAAAGACTCGGAGCCGTGCAGAGGGCTTCAGGAAGATGCTGAGCAGCCCCCATCCCCACACCCAGCGGTGGGGAGTATTAAACACATGGACAGTGCTAGATTTTGGGCAGGGCGAGCTGGGATACGCACGCCACAATTATAGCCCATTGCCTGGGGGCTTGCTGCAGCGCCGGTGGCCTGGGCAGAGCTTCTGCTTCCCCCACATCTGCAACCCTTTGCTCTGGGAGCAGCATTTCTGGCCATGCCATCTTCCTGTGTTGGTTTGCTTCCTCTCCCTGAAATTCAGACCTCAGGTGAACGGCCTTTGGGTACAGGAGCTGTGGACCCTTCCTCAGGGTCCAGCTGCTATTGCTCCACAGCTCTGTCACCCAGAAACTCATCCCAGCGGATCTGCTGGAGCAAACCACAGGTGTTCCTTCACAATGAGCCTGGTGCTGCTTCTTTGTGGATGTTATGAATGTGTCACAGTCAGGTTTTGTGAACAAATTCCCCTCTCTGCTCTTCTGAAGGAGCCAATGCAGGACTCTCAGAAGAAAGCATTTGCAGGGTTTGTCCACTTAGAGACATTTTTATGAAAAGGAATCCCAAGCACCACAGTGAATAAAGCTCTGGTATAACTTCCAGCTTTTAATTAACATGGCAGGAAGCCTTTAATTTCCAGATATTGAGAATGAGAGGACAAATTGCAGAAGGACTCAGCACGGGGAGTCTCCAGGGAGCAGGGGTGGGAGGAGAGATTTGACCTCCCAAAGCACCCTCCACTTGTGAGACACGTGTTCTGCTCTGGTTTTGCTTTTCTTATTATTCAGCACAAAAATAGAAGAGTTGGTTTGTAGGAAACCTCTGCCTGGCGCCCTGCAGAGATTAGTAGATCGTAAGCAGGGCTGCAGGAATCAGCTTTGCCGGGAAAGTCAGGGATTTCTTACTGTTCCCACTTTTTGGTGGAATGAAAAAACAGCTTTGAAATTTTCCACGAAGAAGGCCACTTGGGAACAAAGGAAAGATCTCTGTTTGATCTCTACCTTAAGAGAGGCTTGTTTCCCTAACAGGACACGTTACATAACAAAACACCCATGTTTACTCAATGCAGCCCCTAAGTGCAAGATGGAAAATTTCAGAGCAAAATAAAGGTCTGACCTTACTGTCCTGAAATTATCAATATTTAGAGAAAAATGCCTTAATTCGGGGCCATCTCTGCATGGAGTGGCATGGCAATCACTTCTTTCTCCATGCCCAGGGTCTCCTGGCACCTGTATCTCTGCAAGGCCCTGGGTGGCTATATGCCGTGCAGGGTCCCTGCAGCCACCCCTGGTGTGAGCAGGGGCAGCACAACCCTTCCTGCTGCCTCTGGGTGATTATATAAAGAGGATTAAACTGTGTGTAAACAAGGCTTGCTTAAGTAACTTCACGGCTGCCAGTTTCTCTTGCTGGTCTTCTTTTCCTACTCCACCCCTCCACGAGCTGGACGTGACGGATGCTCAGCATGGCCCTGTCCATGCTCCACTCCCAGCTGGCCAAAGACACGTCCAGGGAGACCCAGGCTGAACTATGAGGGTGTTTCAAGCACGTTTGGTGGTTAAGCACCCCAGTGGAGCTAGATTTCATGTCCAGCAGTGCTAGGGAAGCTCTTGAGGCTGTGGGCAAGCACCAAGGTCACGCTGGGGGATACCCAGCTGTCCCCAGCCATGTCCCCCAGGACACCACTGTCCCCCACGGTGCTGCAGGGCTCGTCCTCAGCATCTCCAAAAGCCAAATGTTTGGCCTACTTTGTGTCCCCTCCAATGAGGATTTTTAAAGCCCTAATCCAGGTAGCTGTCACGGATGCTCATGCTGTAAGTCCATTCATGTCACCTGGATTCAAGCCAGGGCTGAGACACAATGAGGAATTAGGGACTGCAGATAATTGGCGAAACCTCATCAGTTCAAATCAAGGCATCACTTGGGAACAGAGAGGAAGCACCCTGTATTTGCACAGAGCTTTGTGCAGTGGCCCAGAGCAGTGAACAAAACCCACAAACAGCAAGGCTGTCCCTGTCTTGGTGATCATCATCACCCAGCAGTGTGGGGTTTATGTACACGTGCTGGCTCTGAGGACACGAAGCAATGGGATTTGGGGCAGTGTGAGGACGTGGCAAGCTCATTTGCAGACAGTTGCTTATAAAATTCAATGCTGGGAGCTGTGGCACAAGGTGCAGAGGCAGTTTTAGAGCTTTGAATCTCTTTAGCCCATCCCAGGGCAAGAAATCCACCATCAGGTGTAAAGAGATGCAGCACTGATCAGTTCCAACAGGGCACTGACAGGCACATTTGACCTCAGAAAAATGGCCTGGCACAGCACACTTGGGAAATTCCCAAAGTTAAAAAGCAAAGGTAGAGCCATCCCTTTCATGTTCAGGCACATTGAACTTATTCCCAGAGCTTCCCAACCTGCAAGAGTGTGGCCTGAGGGGAATGCAAACTGCTCTGTGTGCTGTTTGGGAGTAGGCTGTGTCTTGTGCAAGGTTCTCGCATACTTGTGCACAAAGCAATGGAAGCCACAGGGGCCCCATGGCACTATTTTACATCGGGGTGTCCCCGTTCATGTGAAACGTGGCACTTAAACTCAGCCTTCTGACAGCCAGTTTAGCTTTTGGCATTGGCTGTTTGTTTGCTCTACGTGTTTTCCCTTTAATCTCGGCGCTGGGTCACTAAGAAAACATTCCTCAGCATCGCTGCTGCTGCTTGCTGGGGTTGTACAGGAACCGGCTGCGTTCGCTCCCTGTCCTGCGGTTCTATGTAAAATCCTCCCCGGCGCTGACTGCTAACCCCAGTTTCTCTGAACTCTGCATTACCCGAGGAATAACGCCCTTCTGAGGAAGCCTTACCAAACAGCCGAGCGGTTACGAAACCCTGGCCCCTGCTGCCACACGTCCCAGCCCCGGTAGATGGCGGTGACAGCCCATTTTTCCCATTTTTTCCCCTTTTTCCTGGCGCTGCGCCCTCTCCCAGCCGCAGGCGGGTGTAGGGCAGGGGCATCCTCAGCCCCCCCTCTGCCGGCAGCCTGGCAGAAAGCGGGGTTTGGGGCTTTTCTCCCCCTATTCTGACTGCTTTTCGTATGGTTTGGGTTCCGTAGAAAATCACAGCAGGTTGTACCAGCTCAGCACAGCCTCGGGCAGCTGAAGCCGCCTGCTGCACAGCCCCGGAGCGAGAGGCACGGAGAGGACAGGGAGGGGGTTTCTTCATTTCAGGGGCCACCCAGAGCCAGGCAGCCAGGGCTGCTGGATTTCTCTCCATTCCCTTTCATGATCTTGAACAAAACCTGCTTGTGCTCCCCCAGATGCCAGCTCCCCATCACCTGCTTTTCCTTGGCCACGCAGCTCTGGGGAGGCAGCCAGCCAGCACGAATAAATAGCATCTCTCTTTGGAGCCCGCAAACTCTTTTATTTGGCTAAAAGCAGCCAGTCCCCCCTCCGAAGTGCTGCCACCAGCATCCCCACCTCCCGGGGGTGCACAGCAAGGCTAATCTGCGGCTTCCTTCTCATCGTCCTTGTCGCTGCTGTGCTCCTGGGGCTGGAGAAGAAAAGCAACACCAGGTGAGCGGAGTGCTGGGCGCCCCGTCCCCTGGTACCTCTAGATACCGAATGCCACCCTAAAACAGCACCCACATGGGGGCTGGGGGTGTTGGTGAGCAGTTTTGGGGATTACCTCCTCTGAGACGCTTTGGGAGCTGCTGCTACTCCTGTCGCCACCTTCTTCATCTCCCTGCAGGGGCAGAAGGAAGGATAAATGTCACCAGGGCCCCGACACCCCATTTGCCCCCCTTGGGATAGAGAGGTGGAAGGTTGCATGGAGAGCCAGGCTCTGTCCCCACAGTGCCACTGTGGATCCACGAGTGGACATCACCCTCTGCAGAGGCCTCCAGAGCTGAGAGCAAAGATTCAGTGGCCACCACGGTGTCTTGTCTGGGTTTAAATGGGAGGAAAAAGAGGGAGAACTAACCAGGAACAGCAGGATCAAAGAGAGAACTGCCTCCCAGTGGAAAAGCCATGCACACGATGTGATTTCCAGGCTGCGGATGGCACAGCACCATCCACCAGAGGTGTGTGGATGCCATGAGTCACTGCAGCCAGGATGTAAATCAGGCAGGGCAGGTGGTTTCTAACAACCTACAAGCCCTGGCTGCCTCCCATGCCCTCTTGTACCATTTTTGGTACTCAGTGGGAAGCAGGGAGCTCTGCCCTGCGCACATCCCTGCTGTGCCCCTGTTCCCTGCAGCGCAGTGCTCAGGGTGCTGGGTGCCCCACAGGTGCTGCACAGCCATGGACATGGAGGTTCCCCAACACGGCTGGTTTGGGAAGTGCTGGGCTCACCCTGAGCACCGTGCTGGAGACTTTGGGGCTGGAAATCCTCTGGGAAATGGTTCAGCAGCCAATCTGTGAAAAGCTCCATCATTCTCCTACCTTTTCCTCCTCTTTCTCCTCCTCCTTTTCTTTCTCTTCTTCAGCGCCCTTCTCCTCTCTCTCCTTATCTTCCCGTCCAAACCCTACAACAGACACAGGTTGAGGGTCATTACCAGCAGCACCCAGTACACGCGCACCCATCGGAGGGGGCTGCAGGTCCCCTTCCCACCCCAGCTCCCACTGGACACTCACATTTCAGGATTGTCGACATTTCACCGCAGCCAAAGGGCTCTGGGGCACGAGGTGCTCACACCTGTGGCACAGAGAGGAGCGACCGGAGGGGAAATAACGTGGGCTTTTCAGGGATGAAGATACCTTCCTGGTCCCCACCGTTTGGTTTTCTCTTCAAATATGCAGAGAGATGCCTTAAGACCACTTCCAAACCCACCTAGGAGCAAGTGAAAATTAAAGAAATATTTAAAACATTTAAAAATGAGAGTAAAGACCACTATTTTGAGCTCTTGGGAAACCACAGCGGAGAGGAGACCTTCCCCAGGGATGGGACAGTAGCAGGGAGGGAGACAGAGACAGCAGTGAGCAACAGTGAGAAAACTCCAAGCATTGATTAATGCTTGAAAGGTGACAGATGGCAAAGAAAGCAGATCAAAAGAAAGCCAACAGCTTTCTTTAAAAATAGCAAAAACAAACAAAATCCAAGAAATAGCACAGGCAGGTCAAACCCTCTCTGTCACACACAAAGAGCAAAATTGCCACTTGTGGCAGAGGGAAGGAGCAGGGATGAGGGAATGGGTTCCTTCTGCTGGCAGGGAAAAACAGGGTCATTGTTTGGGCTCAGCACACAATTAGGGCACAGTTTCTGCCCCGGCCACCGATGGGGGGAGGCAGGATATTAATGCTTTCAATTAATGTTTTTAAGCCCACAAAATGACACCATCTTGTGATCGGGATTTGCACCCTTGAAGGAAGCAGACAGCCTCCGGGATGATAACACTGATGTGTATTTTGTAAGCAGTTGTAAAAGCCACGGGATGCTGCGGGGCTGGGGTAGCTTTGGGGCAGAGGCAGGCGGGATGGGCAGAAAGCAGATAGGGACAGATAAAAGGTTCTATCAGCGCCGAGTTAAAATCTAATTAATAATGAATAGCCACCTAATTCATCTCCGTAATTAAGAAGTGCAACTCCTAATTGAAAATAATTACTTTTTAATCTAAAATCATTAAAAATAATCAAACATTAGCAAAAAGAAGAAAGGCAGCCCCTAGGAAGGTGTATGAGACGGTGCAGCTGATTCCCTGCTGTGGGATCCTGCACCAAAGCTCCTCCGTGCCCCACATCTCGTGCCCAGCCCCATATCCATGGGGTGTCCCCACAAGATGTGCCTTAGGCACCGTCTTGGAGGAGTTTGCCTGCTCCTCTCAGTGAGGAGGACCGAAGCCCTTCCTAGCGAGGATCGGGCACCACGTCCCATCTCCATCCCTCAGACCATCCAAGAGCTGTCCTGGGGATGCTCCTGCCACAACCCCCTGCTTCAGCCCACGTTTCCCCTCCTCTTCCCCAGCCCCTAAAATCGATAAGGCAATCTGTAAGCCCCCCCCGGTGTACATGGAGGAGCAGGGAAGTGCCTTACCCACAGCAGGGACAGGCGAGCGGCCTCCTCCACGCCTGGCTGGCAGCGCGCAGGGCCCCGGCTATTTGAGTGTCACCGTCTCCTCCCCAGCCCCACTTTTGGGGCAGTAAAACTGGCTCTGCCGCCCTCCCCGGCCACCACCCGACGCCCAGAACGTGACCGGTGCTCTTCACACCCGTGAGAGCCTCGCAGACATCTCTGCCTCCAGCGTGGGCAGGAGCACCCAGCACCTTCACCCTCTGCCAGCAAGCCAGGGCGGCTCCGCTGGCCGCAGGGACCTGCCCCCGGGTCCTGCTGCGGTCAGGATCCTGTTTGATGTAAAAAGGAAAGGATTTGGGGGTGTCCTGAAAGCCGTGGTGGCAGGAACCTCCACCAGGTCCTTTCTCTCTCCTCCATGGGGAGGTGGCAGGAGTATCGGGCCCAGGCATGGCTGCCCAGTGCGAGGCAGGGCTCAGCACTCCCAGCTCCTTCTGGTGCTCGTCCTTGCCGCTGGCTTTCGCCCCGACACATCATTAAGCAAGTGTCTGTCAGCAGAGAGCAGTTACCAGCAGGTCTTAACACTTGCATAATGTGCTTCCCCTCTAACGCAATGCCCTCGTTCCTAATAGCACCAATATGGGATAATAACAGGAACAATAATGGCAAGAAGGGCTTGTGTACCTGAAAGCTAATTTGTTTTCTCCACCTAATAAAAGGCATTACCTCTCCCACAAGATTTGCTCCATTTAAACCCTTCAACTCCACAGCAAAGTTGCTCCCGCTGTAATTTTACAGCTGAAATTGCTGCGCACGTGGTGTCCCCAACTCTGAGCGAGTCTGACCCCGGTACCGCAGAGGGGCAGGCACACAGGTCATCCACCCCAAAACCTGTACAGCTCTGCCCAAAATACAGCTAGGTTAGATCAGGACCTAGCTGTCCTAAAGGAGGGTTTTTTGAGGGAAAGGGTGGATAAAACCTTTGAGGACTCCTCTTGAGTGGAGGAGTTTAGGAAGGCTGGTGGCAGAGTCCTCACTCCTGCAAGTTTCAGAAGCAGTAGCGGTTGTGTTTGCTAGCAGAGATGCTGCAGTTGATGTACAAATCATTCATGGAACTGTTTGGGAATGAGCGATCACAGTAATCCTGCCCAGATCTAGGCACCTGGGGCAAGGATGGGGACAGAGAACACAGCACTGGGTCCCCAGCAGCACTGGGGAGGATTTTTGGTGTCAGGAATGGCTGGAATCCAATCCTGCTCATCCCAACAGCTCCTGCCACCTCCTTAGGAGGATCCACCCCTCCAAGCACTGCACTTGACCTTGTTTTTAAACGCTGACCCCAATGCAGCAGCTGCTGCTCCTTGCCAGCCCCAGCCAGGCGCTCAAAAGCCACTCAGCATCCTCCAGCCAGAGCAGCCCAGGGCCCAGGGACACGAAGCATCACCCTAGGGAAAGCTCTAGGGACCTCCCCAGCCAGCAGCACCTCACAGCACGGTGCTGGTTGCCACCATCACCAGGACACGGGACGGGGGCAGTCACTTCCATGTCCAGGCCCCAGCCCACACACGAGCTCAGCTCTCACCCAGCAGCAGGCACAAATCTGCCCTCAAAGAATAGAAGGGAACCTCGCAGCCAGCACCCAAAACACCAGCACAGGGCTGCAGCCGAGCTGCTGTCAAAGTGTAGAGCTGCGAGGGCCTAGCAACACCCCCAGAAAACGTTAATTAGCACAGTACTGGGCATTTACGCCCTCCCACGCTAGATCTTTTATCTGTGCCAAGGAGCCCTTGGCTACAGAAGACCAATCTTTCTGCTTAAATCACATCGCTGTCGACAGCTGCTTATTTATGATCTGGTGTGCACACCTGGGAAAGAAATGCCAAGGCTTTCCTCCTCCTCCTGCCCTGAGCTCTCCCCTTCCTGCCTCTGAGTCAGAGCATTTAATTCGTACTGCGGGTGACCTGGGATAGCTGTCCCCTTGCTCACAGCCACCAGCACTCCTGGCAGCGTAGCTCCTGCTTCTTCCACAGGAGCAGGACAACTGCTCATCGTGCCTGTGTCAGAGGTTTTGCTGCTGCTGAACGTGTGTGTTTTCCTAATGAAAAAAATGAGTCCCGGGGAAGCTGGCTGGGCAAGGGCTGGGAGCACATCCCTCAGCCCACCGGGAGGACCGAGCCTTTTTTATGTTTTAAAGCTTTCCACGGCAGCTGCCAGGAAGCAGCTTTTACAGCTGCAAGTAACGGGCTCTCTCTCCTAAGGAAAGAAAATAATTGTGGCTTTTTTCTCCTCCCAGTCACTGCCAGCATCTTAGCTAACTCTTATCTATTCTCAGCCACCTCTCACCTCCCCAAACACAACCAGAAGTGCTCAAATTACTGCCAGCTCTCATTAGGTTCATGAGCAAGGCGAGGCCAAGCAATAAGACCTCCAGACAGTTGGATGCTGAGTTCTGATGAATCCTTTGGGTAGGAAGATTTCAACAACTGTATGACTGTTCTTGCTGGCAGGCTACTGCAGTCTCTGCACTGGCACCCAAGCGAAGCCGGTTCACGCTTCGTTACTGGCTGCTATAACAAAATCCAGGTGAGCATATGACTGAAAGAATTACCATCTGCATCAAAAAAAAAAATAAATCACCTCCTTGCCTTTAATTATTAAACTACTCTACACTTAAGCACTGCAGGTCAACTTGGGTTGACAATTTATCTGGGGAAAAAAAAAGCAGCTGCTGCTTCAGAAAACCCTGTTATCATTATTCTTTCTCTTCTGACATTTCTGTAAAATGTGGCTTTGTGGCAGGAGCCAAGCTGAGATTTTGCACTGATGCAGGAATTCAGAGCTCAGCTGTGGACGCTCTCACTCCCCAGCCAGGGTTTAGAACTCTTTTCTATGAAAGGATACCCTGCCATGAGAGAGACCCCAGTTGTCTCTGCCCCACAGCAGCACCACGCCCTGCCTCAGAAACTGGTCAGGGGTGTGAAGAAAGCACACACAGTTCTTTCCTCCTGCTTGGTTAGTGCCCCACACTACCTTGATAGCTCTTACCTGAAACAGTTGTCAAAACAAATCTTTTTTAAATGTTATCAGTGTAAAGAAAAAGTATATAGTTTATTTAGTGAGATTTTTTCCCATTCAATCACACTCCTTTCAAGTCCAGTTTTCTTTAAAAATTAAAATAAATACTTTACATTTAGAGACCTTATCAGTCTAACAAGGACTAAGGCAAGGGTTTTTCCATACATGTATAAAATTGGAGAAGCATTAGCCAAAAAGTGTTCTAATATTAAAGACATTTCTACTGCACAACAGAGCAGAGGAATGCTAAGCCTTCAGTACTGCAGAAATTTGCAAGACCCGCTAAAACCAACGCTCAGTCACCTCTGGTTTGCTGTTCTGGACTTAAGCTGCATTTAATCTGTGTTTCTGCTCTTGTGATTCCATCAGAGGCTGCTCCCTCAGAATGGTAAAGCTCAAAAGATAGGAATTGTAAAAAGGAACAGAATAGGGAACTTTCACAGCACAAAAAAAAAAAGATAGATTATGTGAAGCAGCTTCTGAGACAAATTAGGACTCCTGCTAACAGAACCAAATTGATGCTTCTCCCCCTGCTTTCATATATCTTCCAAAAAGGAGCATTACATTATAGTGTTTTTGCAAAGAAATGGAAAAGAGTGGTATCTGAATCTGAACAGTCTGTGGCTGACATGTCAAATTGCATTAAAAAAAAAAAAAAAAAAAAAGAGAGAATCCTCCCACTCCATTCTTGCATTGGATTGCCCAAAGAAGAATCAATCCTTTTTAGCCAGTTCTCATTTATTGCTATAAAGCAAAGTACCCACATTCTTAGGGCCAGATCAGCATTTTTCCAGCTCATGCTGAAGCAAGCATTCTGCAAGAGGATGAGTAACAGCACCCTAGTGAGAGTCCCAGTCCCACATCCCTGAGTCATTAGCAGACACCTTTAGGAAGCTGGGGCTTCTCTTCAGCAACAACAGCTCCATAAGGCATCCTCTCCGTTCTATTCTTTCCAGCCTGGAAATTGCAAGGGTGATAATCATAAACTTTAGCCTTTTCTTGCATCTCCAATCCAAAGTTCACTTCAACGCAGAGCTTTCAGGAGCCTAATTATGTCTGACTTAAAAATCACACCATGACTTTAGCTAACTCTTTAACTAGCCAGCTGCTGCTCTTTTCTCCAGCATTGTCTCCACAGTCCAGAGAGCTTCTCCAAAGAGCTTGTTAACACATACAGCACAGGGATTTCAGTGAAAAGATACAGTCTATGAAAACAGGGAAGCAGTCTGCATTGTAAAGTCTGTCACGTTGTCCACCAGCCTGGACTATGCTAATCACATTTCTCAACGAGCTCTAAGAGCTGTCATTGCCAGACTGCACTTAATCACTGTTCTTGCAGTAGCAGTGATCAGTTAATCTTTTTCCCTTTAATATCAGCCATTACATCATTCTCCAGCATGGAAAATACGAAGTGGGAAGGTCGAAAGTTCTTAATTAGAAGGATTTTTATTGCTGTGATAGTTCCGTTCTAGCCTCAACAAGAGAGATCTGCAGTACAGGCAGCAAGAGCTGGAAGGCATCTTGGATATATGAAGCACTGTTTGAAGCCTATGAAAATAATTTTAAAAAGAAGAAAAAAAAAGCATGAGTAATTATACTACCAGTCATCTTTACTAACCATAAATTCATTTCAAACAGCATTGATTAACATACGTACACGTAAGAAACAGAAACCTATTGCTTGTTGGGTCTTTAAGGCTTCATTCCAGAAATCAATTCAGTATTACTTTTGAGGGGCTTTATGCTACTCAGCAAAAAAGCACCTGCCTTAAAAGCAGCCATACAAGATCAGGTGCAATCCAAATGTAGGATTCTACTTTGTATAATAGATGAGAAGCATTTATTTCAAAGCAAAGTAAACGTTATGGTGTGTTCTTCCTTCCTGCCACAGCAACAGAAACACCCGTTTCCTGCCACACCTCAGGAGTTTACAAGCACTGAGAACCAACTGAACAGCCGGGAAGTGCTGGGACTCTCGCACGCTAATTTATGAGCTTGTCTGAGGTTTGACTTCAGGCATTTAAATTCCCACTAAAATGCTAGAAATCAGACTGATGAACATCTAGTATGTGTCTTCTGACCCAACATAACTGTCAGCTGAGACCATATAAGGCTCACTGTTCACTAACATTCATGTCTTGTGAAGATCTATGGGCATTTATTAACATTTCTAAGTTATTAGAGAGGTAAAACGAATCTTAGACCATGGGCTAGAGAACTTCGCATGCTAATTTTCCAAGTATTAGCTTAAAGTTTTAACTTTAACATAACTGACCTCCAAAAACACTCCAGTGATCAAGGGATTAAGCACATCTGCTTTCTCTTTGACCTGCAGAGATCAGACATATATTATCCTGATTGAAAATTTGATCACATTTCTTCAAGCAAGATAAAGCCAAACCCTCAGTAAGGTTAAAAACACCACTGCTTGCCTTGGAAGCCAAGTCCCAAGCTGCAGAGGAACTCCCCTGCAGTGTGCAGATAACAACAAAGTAACCCACATAGGTACAATGCAAGACCTACATGAAGACACACATTGTATCTCCACATGAACTGTGGACTGATGGAAGATTTAGAGATAAAGACATTATCTTCAGTAACACCTGAGTGTTTTGTAACATCTACAAACTCATTTTCTTCTGTCTCATTAGTACTGTCAGAACCAACCCCCATCATCGTTCCGTGCCAGGCTGAATGCCTCAGGAAGCATTCAAAAGCTCAGATTATGTTCAGCTGCCACAGACTGGAAAACACGGGTCTAAGAGATCAGTTCACAGGGCAAAAAACTGCATGCATAAATGAGCAAGCACAAGAAGCACTTTCTGGCTAAGATCCCAAGGCTGCAATCAACTAATCACATCTCATCCCAAAGAACTATGATGCAAGACTTACCCCTGCAACTGTTAAGCATGTAGTGAACTCTTTAGAGAAAGTTGACAGTTCTTTACACAGCACAATCGTCAGTCTGTGCAAGAAAAGTGGAAAAGCTATGTAGTAAATACAATCTATGAAGAATAACTTTCTTTCAGCATTCCATGAAAACACAAATACCTTGTTTCCATGTATATAAAGCTAAATTAAACCAAAATTGATATACAGTATCTAAACAGTTCATGAAGATCCAGAAGTTCTATGAAAAAAAAATGAGGAATGGAAAGGTGAAAATAGGCAATTAAAGCTGAAGATCTGAATCCACATTCAGAAGATTGACCCCGCCATTCAAAAAGGAAGTGTACTAACTAGCTTTATCACAGACAAATAACATTTTCTGAATTAGAAAATATTGCATATTTCATATACTTGCCAAGTACATTCTGATAAAATGAAAAAGCCCTTCCTGTTATGCATTACTGGTATTACTAGTATACTAAATGACCAGCAAAGAGGTAATCAAAAATCATTTATATATAACTGTTTCGTCATATTTTAAATGGGTATCTACTAACTCGCACAAGCTTGGAGCAAATATTCTTCTTGGCTATATAAGTTTTCAAGAAGGGTTTCTTCTTCTTGTCAAGAAATGTCTTTGAACTAGATAAAGCCAGATGAATTATGCTGGGAGATAGCCACCTGTAACAACAGTGATCACCTATGAAGAATTCAAGAGCCCCACATCCCTCGGAATTGCAAAGAAGCATCAGACAGTTTAATCGGTAAGCAAGTTACTGCATGCTACATGCTTACAAAGATATGAACTTACTGTGAAAGCGACTTGGCTCTGTCTGTGGCAGTCACCTCTTCTTTCTGACCATGAAGGAACAAAGCTGCAGTTTTGTGAAACATTTCAATGGAGTATGCTGTCAGTTCCGCCAGGCTTCTAATGGCAAATGCATGGATATCCTGCAAGAGTTAAAAAGATCCCCAATACCATACAAAAAGTAGCAGCTTTTATTATTTAGAACGTTGTGTCATTTACTTGTTATATCTGCCCTTTCGGACCCCAGAATTTGCACAGAAATAGAAACCCGTAAGTTCCAATCATCACAACTGTAACTTGACAGCCAGATAAACATTCTGTGGTCAGATATTGTCTTCCTCCATTGCTCAGTTACCTCCACTGATTTTTTAGCATCATGGTCACCATCTCCAGCTTCTACTTCTTGGTTGTCTTCACTCTCTTTTTCTTCTTTTGGAAGACTACTGTTGAATTGCGCTATCCATTCATGAGCAGATGTCCTCACCTGTGTGAAGATGAGCCATAGTTATTTATGAAGCAGAATGAATCCCCCCTTCCCCACAACAAAACACAGAGTGCTGAATCTCTAGGGGAAGCAAACAGCTACATGAAGAGAGTAAGGACAAATTATCCTAGTGCCTCCAGGACCTGTAGAGAGTTGGCTGCACTCACCTAGTTGAAGGCAGTCATTTCTCTACACCAGGACCATGACTAACAGTTTTAAAAACATGTCTGCAGAATGCTGCTGCCACTTGGTGGATCTGAAGGGTAGTGAAAGGAAGGAAAGGAAGGATTCTTCCTCATACCAGCTTCTGAACATAGTAAAAACAGTTGCTTTGTACCAAGAGGAAGGCTGCAATGCACGACTGTAGGTTGATTTCACTGTGTTGGCTGATGGCTTACTGCTCAGTTATCTTTGCCACCAGATATTACTGCCCAGTGACAGGGCAAAGACATACTGGTGCCTACTGCTTCAGAGCCAGAGGCATTGCAGAGCATGGTTTTGCTTCATAAAGTCAAAGGTAAAGGCCTATTTCTCTCACTACCAGTGTCAAAGGATCTAAAACACTGCTTGTATTCATGTCTTTCATATTTTCATCAGCAAAGCAGGATGGAGAAGCAGTTCCTGAAAGAAATCTCTCCAGCTTTTAGAGAATGGGAAATAACTCACCGTGATCAGTTTGTCCGGCTTTGTGGAGATATGCAATTCTGAAAACAGCTCTGTTACTTCCTTCGTGAACTCCTCATCTCCTAAAGAAAAGGCTAATGAATCCCCAGAAAGGACAGATACAGTGGAAAAAGCAGGACTTCAATGCACAGTTAGTTCTGCACACATCTATCAACTGTTTCCTATATTTCTCCTTGAATCATTGATTCAGGAAAGGACGCATCACATCTGGTCTTTTTAATACAACTTACAAGTTCAGTTCTGAAAAGGCAGAGCCACCATTGCCAAAAGATTACCTTTTGCCTTCTCAATCCTGGTTCTTTAGCTAAGGTAATTCCATTTATTTAATTATTTATTTTTTACAGGCAAACAGTCTGCAATCCATCAAATAAACACAGCATTTTACAATGCACTAACTTGTGCATCACCTTGGAGAGTATGAAATATTGCTTAAAGCCCATGGTTCTCCTATTATACATGGCAGGGCAGATGTTAACAGTGGGAGGGATGCTGTGAGATCCATCATGGAAATATAAAAGATGCATTAAATGTTAAATGCTAGCAAGCACAGGTGTAAGCCCTCCCTGATGAGCCATCGAAGTAAAAGCAATGCAAGACATTTACATTTAAATCTGTGTAATCCTCAAGAATCAGATGGCTCCTCTGTATGGAGACACCTCTAAGTCTTTTGGTCTTTGCTGCTAATTCTCATTTAAAAAAAAAAAAACAAACTCTCCCACAGGTTAGACAACTCTATTCAAAGTCCTTCCCTTATGAACAGGGAAACCCAGCATCTCTTTGCATTTGCATCTTGGCTCAAGGTCAGTTGTAGGAAATGCCCAGGAACCAAGCAGATCTAATCCTGCTCTGGCAAGAAATCAAACGGTTTCTGCAACAGAATTAATGCATAGAAGCTTTCCAAAGATGAAGAGCATTGCTACCTGTCATGCTCCTGGCCACAGGCAGTTTTAGGATTAAGCATCCAGCTAAAGAATAACTTAACTGTGGCATCATGCCCAATGCTAGTGCTCTCAGGACTGGCTGGTTCTGCTCTGAGAATTTCATTTAAAACCAGCTTCTCCTCCCAGAACCCAAGGCTCTTACCCTTCTTTTCTTCCTCTTCTTCTTCAAAGAATTCAGCTAAAGAAAACGCTTCTTTGAGTTGCTCCATTTCCTCCTTTAGCGTGTCCAACTCTTCGCCAGAGAGGGCACTTAGAACCAATTTCACCTAATTAGGGGCAGCACAGCCAAAGAGAGAATCGTAAGTCCAGCAAAGAAAAGAAACAGGGTGGAAGATACAGCACTCACACTGTGTGTAAAATCATTACAGAGCAATACTAGGAAAATACCGGGGAAAAGACCTATTCTGCAAAGACCTGTTATGTACCAATGGATTCTTATGGAGTTATTCAAATAATTTCCTTTATAAAAAACTGAATGACTTCTGAAATACGTTGACCCACCCCCCTCCCTGCTCCAAGACAGAAGACGATCTCAGCTTTGCCTGCAGTACTCTCTTCCAGACCACAGAGCAAACAAGCTGATGTGAGGAAAGAGTAACTTGTGATAAGCTGTTGAAGAAATACAGGAAGTGAGGCTAGTTAGGTAAAGAGGATCATTCTAGGAGCTGAGGGTAGGACAGGATGCTCCCAAAGTAAACACTAGATCATAACGCAGGGGTCAAAATGACTTTGTGCAATTAATCATTTTGTAGCAAGTTCCAAGTTCTGACTACTTGATTTTGCATGTGTGTACAGACATTTCCGATCTTTTTTCTCACCCAGCTGAACTCAAAAATAGAAGGAAAATTGCTCAAGGCCATTACCTTTGATTCACTCTCTTTGGAAAGCATCTCTAAGGCCTCCAGATGCGAAAGACCCTGAAACTCGTCAAACAGTAATCCATAATGGGCTTTCTTCTCCGTAGCCATGGTAACCTCAGTAGCTGTCTGCTGCTCTTCCTTCTCCTTTGCCTCTCGTAAGACCTGAAAAAGAAAAACAAAGAACTCAGATCAACACCAGAACATATGGAATAGGGGAAGAGAAGGCTTATGGGTTTAACAGTAAGAAATATCTGCTTAATGACAGGACCACAACAGAAGGAAGAACAAGAATCAACAAGGAGTTGATATGAAACAGCCATACCTGAGATAACGTAGAGTTTCTGTTCATTAGGCCCTTTGTTTTTTTGAATCCAGGGTCTCCCTCAGCTATCACATCCATTGTCTTTTTCCCGATGAATTCCAAGGCATCTAGACCTCCACTAATCACACTTTTCCCCTAGGAAGCAGATTTGGATAGAGTCAGTGCATAAAAGTCACAGAAGACTGAACAGCTTATACTGGGGGCTTTATACAGGCTGTGTTATGCTAGGCACTCACATACAAGCCAAACTGGTCCTTATCGCTCTAGAATTCAAAACTAGTCACCAAAATCACAGCAGAAAGGCATGGAAAGAGCCACAATACACTATCATCCAACAGTTTAATATAGCACTCAGACAGCTGCAGCAATCTGATGGGAAACATTTTTATTTTGTGAAGGAGCTGGTTCTCAGCACATTTAAGTATTTAGTTTTTAATTGCTCCAATCAGAAAACACTAGACCTGTGGGCTGTGTTGGTTGCTAAATTCTTGTTCAAGCCCTAAAAGCAGAAGCAAGCTTTCCATCTGCAGCTCTTTCAGATTCATGGGCAAATTGACAAGACAGCAGATCACAAAAGCACAGTTTCTAAGGGTAATGGGTTCTTTGAAGTGTATTTCTCATGGTCACAGGAGCAAGCTGATTTCCAAGCAATTGAGGCCAGTTTCACAGACGTTTTTGAACACGAGAATGGATTTCATCTCTAGACAGTTCTGTGAAAATCAGTGAAAGTATTCCAGAAATTAGTCTGACCTTCCATTTGGCCACATACTCTAAAGAAAGAGAGCATGGTAACAGAGTGTAGAGGTGACATGCATGGTAATGCACACACCACACAGTCCAATGTTGGGCATCTCTGTTATGCATCAGCATTTTATATAAAACTAACAAAATTCAAGACAACTGACACAGCAAGTGCCAGTTAGAAGCATGGCATGAGATAAAGACTGTCTGAAGGCTGAGATAGTCTCTCACCATTTATGCCACAAAAGCCAAAATTAAAAGTTTCCCAATAAGATAGTTCAGACAATGCTCTCAAGCACATTTTTCTGCCTTCCCAACTCACTCACTGTGCTTTGGACAGCAGTAGAGATGGTTGATAAAACACCAAGAGCTCCAGCAATAGGAAAGGAACTGCCATCAGCAACCTCATCTGCACTGTTATCATCAGAATTCTCACCTCCTGCAATAGAAGGTAGAAAATTAACTTCCTCACTCTCCCAAAAAGATCCTGTCACCTGCTGAGTGAAGAAAATTAGCAAATATGAAGTGTCAGTCAGGATCAGGCCTAGAATTGCTATTATTCTCCCACCTACTTTTCAGAGCAGTAAGCAATAACCTGTTATTTTAGCACTTAGTTATCTACATCAATATGAGAGATGCAGAGTAATGTTATGATATTTTGGGGCTGATTATATTATAAGATCTGTTTCAGTGTTATTCTTATGCAATAAAAACTGACCTCTTGTAGCATCTCTGGTCTCCGAAGAAATTTCACTAGGACTGGGGATCCCAAGGGTTGTTTCTGCTTTTTCTATGACATTTGAAATACCTTGACCTAGAGAAGACAGCAGTGTTACTTTAACCATGAGGTAAGTTTTATTCCTCATTAGAGCAGAAACAGGATCAGGGTTGCATATTGTTTCTCTACGGTTCTGGCTTCCTCCTGTTCAGAACAGTTTAACCCGTGCTGACACCTACTACTCTCCATCTTGCTTGCTTGCCAGTTTAGTGAACTCAGGTTTCATCTCAGGTTAGCAAAAATTTCATCTCAATTGGCAAAGCTTTAAAACATCAACTGAAAATTGTGCAAAGGCCTCAAAAACTTGGAAGTAGTTTTGTTTGTGCACATCTCTTTAATGTTATTGTACCTTTTGGTACAGGTTTTCCCTTTACTTGAACAGTTCTCTTGACATTTTCCAATACTTGCTTCTATAACAGAAACCCCATTCTCTAGAAACAAGCCCAAAAGCACTAGCTTGTAACATGACATATGGTTACAACATCTATCAAATACCAGAAAGAGACTTACCAACAGTAGCTACTGTGGCAGATGCAGTTGACAGAAGAGATTTCCCCCAGCTTCCCCAGTACCCCCATCCTGTCTGAGCTGCAGGAGAATCCGAGACCTTTAATGAAGAAAAGCAGAAGACAGTGATGCAGATATGATGGTGTCAAGAAGAACACAATCAGCCTGTGATATGTAACTTTTGTGACGCTTTTTCTTTTCAAATAAACAGCGATGTCAATTTTTAGAAAAGGAACGAGGCTTACAGTCAGAATTCTTCTGAGCATAAAGGCGTGAAACACGAAGTCATGTCATTCAGACCTAGCACAGAAACATACCTTGGGGGTGTCAGCAGTGGACTTTTCTGTGGCAGCAGACTGACTTGGGGGTTTGGGTTCAGGTCTTTTCCGAGTCATAGGCACAGGCTCTTGCTCTTTTTCTTTGCTGCTCTCAACGTGGCCACGTTCTCCTGGCTTTTGTTCATTTTCATCTTCATAAGTAGCTTCCTCTTCCAGATTTTCACCGTTGTCTTTTTCAGACATGACTGTGACAATCACAGAAAGCACAGCAGATAGAACAATCACTCCCATGTACACGTTGACATTAGTTTTAAATAATTAAACACGATTCGGATCCCTTCTTGTTGCCACACATACCTGCATTAACAAATTATGTTTTTAAGCGAGCCTGCACACCGCCTTACATCTGGCCACACGAAACGTCACACCTGGAAGTTTAAAGTCCCACGGGAACACGTGGCTTTACCTCACCACCAGACGAAAGAGACAGGCTGATAACTCTGAAAAACAAACGGGGAGGGACAAAAGGTCCTCAGATGATTAAATCCATGACCTGCTTCACCAAAAGAATAAAACAAAAGGAGAGGGTGGGGGGGAACCAAATCGTGTGGGGCTGCTCTGGAGGGTGCTGGACCCCAAAGGGGAGCGCAGTGACAGTGGGCGGGGGGCAGGCTGAGGGGCGTTTGGTTCGTTATTTCGGGTTGAGGTTCTGTGGGGTGTTTGAGGCACCCAGGCCACGAGAGGACCCCGGGAGGCTCCCCAGGAGCCTGAGGAGCCCCAGCACCCCCCCGACCCCACTTCCAGGGCCCTCCCAGGGCCGGCAGGAGGCCGGTCCCGAGCTGCCGACCTCCCAGCGCCCCCCGTGCTCCCACCCAACAGCCGAGGCCGCTCAGAGCACCTTGGGGCTCCCTAAAACCCCCGATCCCCCCCCCCCCCCCCAAACCCTCACCGCGGGGCCGGGCGGACCGCACCATCGAGACGCGGCGCAGAGCGGCCCCGGCCGCCTCAACCCGGAAGCGGAGCGGGGCCCGGAAGGGCGAGCGGGGAGGGGGGGGGGGGTAAAGGCGGCCGGGTGGCGGCGGCGGGGCCGGAGGTGTCGGGGTCGCTGTGAGGCTGCCGGTACCGGAGGTACGCGGGGATGGGGCTGGGGCTGGGGCTGGGGCTGGAACCGGGGCCCCCCGAGCTCCTCACAGCGCCTGTGGGAGCCGGGCGGCTGCTCGGTGGTTTATTAAGGGGTGTATGGGGGGTAACAGGGGGGTTATTCGGGCGTGACGTCACGCCCGGTGACGTCAGGGCCCGGTGACGTCACGCTCGCGTGACGTCACGCTCCCAAGGCTATCGGGCTCCCCCACGGCCCGGCTCTGGCCCAGTGCCTGGGGCCGGGGCCGCTCGGTTGTCCTGCCCCCGCGGTGGGAATTGGGCGGGTCTTAGTAAAAATTTTTAACGATTTTTATCCAATTTTTAGGATTTTTTAACAATTTTTAGCAGTTTTTAGTACTGAGAGGGGTGCGGGTTGTTGCTGCCTGCAGCGCGACCTCCCCACAGCGTGAGCCCTGGGCCCTCCTGGGCCCTTTCCCCCAGGCTTGCACCTCCCGCTGGTTTTGGGGCTGGTTTATGGGGTTTGGGGTTTTGCAGCTCTTTGGGCTGGTTTGGGGGTTTTTGGTTTTTCACCAGAGCCGCTGCAGGCCGAGGGTGAGCTCTCCCTGCAGGCTTGCCCATGCTGGCAGCAGTGTCTGTGGCTCTCCCCAACATCACACCCGTATCACCCCAACATCTCCCAAACTCAGATTTTGGGGTTACTGACCACGCTGTGAGCCCTGACCATAGAGCCAAAGAACCTCTCAGGCCCCAGTTTTGCAGCGCTTTATAAAACTGAGTGGTTTTAAGCATTCCCAGTACTCCCACTGACCTCGGTGGGAGCAGTTAGAGTGCTCTGTGTTAAGCACACACTTTTTTTCAGGCGAAGAGCCAGCGATGACTCACGTAAGCACACACACCGTGGGTTTTCATCTTTTCGCTGCGATGTGTTGTTACAGCTCGGTTTCCTAAAGGTTAAATGCGTTGAGCTCAACCTGGGGTCTGGCTGTAAGCTCGCCAGTTTCTGTTCTGCACATTTCGTCTTGCTTGGCTCCAGTACCTTCCTGAAGAACTGTACGGTTGGCACCGCTCGCGCTTTATCCTTTCTGGATCCTTTATCAGCTCCAGCAGCTGTTTTGCATAAGCGTGGTGGTCGCAGAACACGGCTTTTGCAAATCATTGTTCCCAGCAGTAAGACATTGTTGTCTGCTTAACAGGAATGGCTTTTCCAAAAGCGGAACGTGACAAACAATTTATAGCAAATCAGGCCTTTTTTAAGAGTTGAACAGTAAAATTCAGTGACCCTTCACCAATGTTTTATGTCTTATGCAAGCTCAGTGCAGCTATACCAGAGACCATATGCAATTACTGAAGATAATTATTCTTATGAGGAAAAATGTTGCTCAGTATTTCTTGTGTTAAATAATTGAGGTTTCTAATGCTGTTTTAGAAGGAAAGTCACAGACCCTTGGAAATCTAGTAATTTAAATTTAATAATTTAAAGTGATGAAAATGACACAGGCAAAGTCGAGGAGGTGCTGGAATTATCTTCTAATAAATCTGAAGCATTATTAGTTGGGAGATTATTGTTTTGGAAGGTTGGAAGTTATTCCATGTGTTCGATTCAATAACAAAGACCAGGGTTTGTCTTCACTTCAGAGCTGTGATCAGTTGGAGCGGCATCGAATCTTGTGAAGTCAGCTCAGGTGTCAGCGGTCCGTGGCGCTCCAAGTCCTCGCCATACAGTAAAGAAATCTGCACGAGGTTACCCAAATGAGCAAGTCTGTTGTCAGCAGCCTTGGGCAGCAGAAATCATTTCCCCAAAGTGTCACTGGAGGAAAGGTCAAAAACAGGAACGAAAGAAGCCGTGGTAGTTTTTTTTTTTGCTTGGTTATTTTTTTTGTTTGTTTGTTTTTTTACTGTTGAGCTGTGGAAAAGTAGCTTCATCAGCACAGAGGTGTAGCTGCGCTCTCTGTGCTCATCCCATTTTAAATGAACAGGCAAGAGGCATGATGGAAAATAGTCAGGCCAAAAACAAAGGAAAAGATTTCTGTTTACAGAGAAACAAGCAGAGTGCAGGTTTTCCAGTTTCCCTTGCAGGATTCGGTGGGTGAGTTGGTTAGTCAAGCTTGAAGGAGAGCTGGACACAGCTGTCTTCTTGCCTTCTTTGTTAAGCAGATTTTGGCAACAGCTGCACCAGGAGTGGGTCAGGTACACATTTCTCATCAGATGTCAAATCTGGAGTCTTGTTTGACCTTCGACAATTTATCCTGAACTGAAAAAACTCCTGATCTGGGCAGTGTGTTAGCAGCAAATGTTCCCATTCCTGAATATGCTTAATTAGTCTCTACTGGACAGACAGTTAGTACAGATCAGCTGTACTTATTTATAGTAAATTATTTTTTCATAAGCGATACAAATTCTCTCTGCTTTAGGCAGTGTTTGCCAGTGATTCTGGAAGGACACAGGGAGTGTCTGCATTATTTATTAAGAAAATGTATTCCTTTGTATTGTGAAAATGTGTTCCTTTGTATTGTGGTATTTATGAAATTCAACTCTATTAGCAATTGGTATTGGTTGAAGAAAATGATGGTACCTCTGAAATCACCCAGACAGTGAGGTGAAGTCAGATATTCTTTAAGATAACATTTAACTTGTGGCTTCTATATTTTGTTATTGTTTATTTTTAGAGCTCTGGAGCAGTTTAGATAGAATCATAATTTCAGGAAATGCACATTGGATTAGAAACTTTCTTGAATCAGGCTTCCAGGAAAATTTATACCAGATTTTCTCTTAACAGCATCATCTCATTTTGTTGCAAGTTGATTTTATTCTGGCTTTTAAAAAAGAAAAATCTTTGTGTGCAAAGAGCCTCAAGTTAAAGTCTGTATCCCAACGTCTTCAAATATCTCGTGCACATGTAAATTTGAAGTGTGAATTCTGTCCCTAGACAAAACATTTTTTCAAGCTGCTTTGAGACACAGGACACAATTTGGTGTAGTGGAGATAATAAGCAAGATACGACAGCTGAGATGTAGCAGCACAAAGCAGAAGATTTTCAATAGCAGTTTGCTGTAAAACAGCAACAACAAGAAAAAAGAAAGCAGAAGCAAGGGAGTTTGCAAAAAAAAAGAAAAAAAAAAGGAAGTATGTTTAGACAATCTTGTCCTGGTATTCAGAAAGGGACTTCCTCGCTTTGTAGACGACTGCCAAGAGAATTTTCTCAATGCAAGAACCAATAAACATATTAAATAGTATTTAGACATTTAACGCCGACTGTGCCTTAAAATCAAGTAAGTAGATGTATAAATGCTAAAAATCAGATGTGTGAGTGCTTTATTTCTAGATGCTAAATGGAAAACCAGTGTTGAAAAACCAGGGCTTAAAAGGACTTTGATGTCAGTGTGGAAGGAGGCAGACATTATATCCTCTTTCTTGCTTTTCTGTATCTATTAAGAAAGCCCTTTATTTCCCATTAATAAATGCAGAATCCACTTTCTGACCCTAAAAATAGTTGTGCATTTTGAGTAGTCAGTACAAATTGTTCTTTTTTAAAACCTTCTTTCTCTTAATGATTATTGTTCCTGAGATTATTTATTTGGATGGGAAGATGAACATCTAGAGGACCGAAGGTTGTGTTAATGCCTTCTTACCCTCGTTTCATTACTGTGGTCTGAGCAAAGCTGTGATTTGGAACCTCTCGGCTGACAGTTTATATTATGCTAATCGAAATATGTTTACTGGAAACGAAATTTAAATACGCTGTAAGCTTGCTATCATTAATAAACTTAATACTTTTTTTTTTTTCAGTTGGATTTCCAGTTTCCTCTCCTAATATTGATGGTCTTGAACAGGCATTTGGATCCAAGACATTTTCTATCACCGAACAAATCAAGAGCCTCCTCTCCCATCTCAGAGCAGTACAGACAGTTTAATATCTTATGACCTCACTTCTCCAAATTAAATGAAAAAAGATTTTTCTCTAGCTTTCCATGAAGCTCAGCTGCTGCCTGTTAATTTTGACTGTGAGTGTTGATCTTTCGATTGGATTTACACTGGAAAATGTAGCTTCTAATGGAACATCTGCCTTTGGGTCTTTCAATACATCACTTCATCCGGTGCCTCAAGCTTTACTAAGTTCCCCAGCACACCATGATATCATAGCCAAAGAGGGGACCAGTATTTTAATTGAATGTAAACTGAACATCAGCCAATATGAATATATCCTTTGGTATAACTCCAGAGGACACCTGCTTGAACAGAAAGATGAAGGTGAGCTGTTCTGCTATTTTATGACCTTGGGCGTTCTGCTTTTATATGATACATGAAAACATCTGAGATTTTATTGTTGTTTTGTTTTCCTATCCTCCCATTTTTACAGTTTGGAAATAGGGAGAGAACAAGCCCCCAAAAGTGTTCTTTGTCCTTTTGCATGTGGTGGAGAAGGAGTTATACCTGGGTTTGTGTGTCCTAGCCCATCCATCCTGCCGTGGTGCCCTACAGAATTGTTTTGTTCATGAGACATCACAGTATGCAGTGCAAAAGAACTGTCTGCATCCTACCAGATACTAACTGATCTTTTTATTTATTATTGCTCTGGTTTATATTTTATCTTCCCAAATGCATGAATTAAACACGCTTCTCCACAGTTGTGACCTTTTACGAGCTGGCAAACAGTGCTTTAATTTTGTTAGAGGATTTTATAAAGCATGGGATAACTTACTGCATTTATTTTCTGGTTTATGCACCACTGAGACTGCGGAAACCAATACAGTTTGTAATGGCCAAGGATGAAATGCATGATATTTAACTCTTTCATACAGAGAAAGAATGTATTTTTGTAGCCTTGGCTTTTATAGTTCTGTCACTCTTGTTTTTCATTTAGAAAAAGATGTCTTTTAGAGATCCATGTGTTGTCCTCTATTAGTATTGATGAAGGTCATCGAGCTAATTGATAGGATCTTCTCAGAGGCCGTCTTATGGCTTTAAGTATTCAGTAACCTCTGTGCAGTTAG